AATATCAGTGATTCGACTATTACAAACTGTTTTCGAGCTTGCGGTTTTGTTAAGGATCAAAATGTAGTCGTAATCAGCGAAAATGTACTTCACATAGCAGAGTGGGCTGAGTGTGTTCCACAAAATGCAGAAACACGTGTAAACTTTGATGACTGCATTCATGTTGATGATGAGTTGGTGATTACTGGAAGACTCAATGATGATGAAATTCTGGGTTTCGAAAACATCGACGATGAAAACGATGAAACATTTGATATTCCCTCAGTTTCCACAAAGGTTGCGAAAGCTTCAATTGAAAATTTGCGTATTTTTTTCATGGCATCAAATGCGTATTTTATTACTATTTTTAATGACATTGTAAACATTGATAGTGCCATAGGTAAAATACGCCAAAATAATGTCCGTCAAAAACATATTACGGATTTCTTTTAAAATTAACACTTTTCTTAATTTCTTTGTACAATTTTTCAAAATACATACATACATATATTGATTGAATAACATATGTACTCTATATTTTAAAGTTTAAATATGTACAATCATTTCTTGTTTTTTATGTAAAATTGAAAAACTAAATAAAAAAAACTCTATAATTCGTATATACTGTATGTTGCCTCTATAAGTTGTATAACTTGATAAATTGAAAAACTCCATAACTCGTATTTAAATTGTGGTCCCTTGCAAAAACGAGTTATCGAAGTTTCACTGTATTGGTGGTGATAAATATTAAACGTTTTGAATGCCAAAAACAGATGTTTTAAAAATCTTGAAAGCCAGTGAGAGCAGCTGAGCTCAGGGGACGATTCCGATTACTTTGGCGGAGGGGTAAAAAACCGGATTTCCGTATAAATAAGGTATGTCCGGATAGGGGAGCTTCTCCAGAGGAGGAATATCCAAAAATAATATAAAAATTACTTATATTTTTTAAAATTTTCACGATTAAAAGTTCAAATATTATTTCTCTATCTTTCATTAAATTTATTCTCGTTTTTCACTCTGTATATTTAAATATACACTCTAAACATTGCAATAAGTTCACATTTCAATTTTATTTTGTAATATTTCACATAAATTTATTAATTAAAAAATCAGTTAGCACATTCGTCGTTGCAAAGATTAGATTGTTTACAATTATCAGGAAAACGAGCGTTGCCACATCTTAAACACCAAATATGAAGGATTCTTAACGATATTTCTTTCTTTGTTTTTTTGCGTGATTCTTTTTTCTACATTAATTATAATAAAAAATACTTTCTAACATTTTTTAAGTTCTAATTGAGTTGTAAAAATTTTTTTCACATATTATACATTTTATATATAGTACGTAAATGTATAATATGTGATTTATACTTAATAAACACATATAATTAAATTTTATGATAAGATAGTATTATAAAATTTATATAATATCATGTCGGGATGACTGAAGTACTTTCTCGTAGTACACCTTTCTGCGTTGGCGGCCTTCGGCCGCGCTTTAAAAAAATAACGATGGTTGAGCGAATACCCGGGAGGACTGAAGTACTTTCGCGCAGTACACCTCTCTGCGTTGGCGGCCTTCGACCGCGCTTTAAAGAAATAACCCTGGACGAGCGAATACCCGGGTGAACTGAAGTACTTTCGCGTAGTACCCCTTTCTGGGTTGGCGGCCTTCGGCCGCGCTCTAAAAAGTCCCTGGCCGAGCGAATACCCGAGTGGACTGAAGTACTTTCGCGGAGTACTCCATTCTGCGTTAAAAATAAAAAAATATATTGAGTTTTTGTTATAAAGTGGTTATATTTGTATGTTACCATGCACTCATATTGAAATAAAATTTTAATTTTCGTCATAAAATGGATAAAATTTAGTTATTATATCTGTCAGCGATTTCCATTTATTTTTGATTATACATTGTTTTGTATTTTAGGTGACGATACATAAATTTTTATATTTAAGATATGAGTTTTGGATATAAAGTGGTTACAATTGTTGGTTACCCTGCACTCATATTGAAATAGAATTTGAATTTTCGTTATAAAATGGATAACATTTAGTTATTATATCTGTCAGCGATTTCCATTTATTTTTGATTATACATTGTTTCGTATTTTAAGGGACGATACATCAATTTTTATATTTAAAATATGAGTTTCGGATATAAAGTGGTTATATTTGTTGGTTACCATGCACTCATATTGAAATAAAAATTTAATTTTCGTACTACTAATATACTTTATATTTTATTACGTAATATTATTATATAAATTACTTATACATATGTATATACAATATTATTATATTATATTACTTATTTGCTTAGTAAATTTAAAAAAGAAAATATACATATGTATGAATAGAGGAATTTTTGCGAAAAAGAGGAATTTCAGCGAAGTGCCTTATCATCACAATAAAATGTAATTTTTAAAATGCGGATTTTTTAGGTAAAAAATCTGCTAAAAGTGTAAGATATGGAGTTATTTACAAGTTTATAGTGTAATTTAATTAATTTGAAGTGAAAAATGTGAATAAAGTGTGTTTAATGTGGCGAAATAGCGTCTTGAAATGTACGAATTTTGCGAATTTTTGAACTTTAAGGTCGCATATCTCCTAAACTAAGCGTTTGCGGTACCTATAACCTACCTATATATATATTTTTAATCAGGAGGCCTTCCTCTTTCCAACGGTACCTTCAGATCGCGGCGGCAAAGAAGTCGGAATTGTGCCGAGCTCAGTGAAGAGTTTAAATGTGGCACGATTCCGATTACTTTGGCGGAGGGGTAAAAAAATCGAATTACTTCTCCAGAGTAGGAATATCCAAAAATTAGATAAAAATTACTAATATTTTTTAAAATATTCACGTTTAAAATTTCAAAAATTTGCACTGCGAACACATGTTATTTCACTATGTTTCACTAATATTTTTCAAGTTTTTTTTATGTATATTTAAATATACACTCTAAGCTTTAAAATAAGCCCACATTTCACATTTATTTTGTTTTCTGCTAAATTTAGTAATTTAAAAATTACTTATCAAATTTATGGCTGACAAGTTTAGAGTGTTATATTTACGAGGAAAACCAGCCTTGCCACACCTTCAAAACCAAAAGTG